ACCTAAAATAAGTTCAGATTTAATTAACATTTATCCCATTCCTTTTTTTTTCTTTTTGTTGGTTGTGGGGTTTCATCTCTGGGTCTGGGCTTAATCCCTGAGTTCTAGGCATGGGCATGATCCCTGAGTTCTTTAGCTCAAGGTGTGCACTTTACCACATGAGCCACAGCACCACTTTCTGGTTTTCTGGTAGTTAATTGGAGATAAAATTCTCACAGACTTTCCTGCCAGGGCTGGCTTTGAAATGCGATCCTCAGAAATCAGCTTCCTGAATAGGTAGGATAATGGACGTGAGCCACCAGTTTAATATATTTCTTTACTCAATCCTTAACCTCCTTTAACCAGAAACCTAATCCTAATCACAACCTGAATTAACACCAAATGGTTAATGTAAGGAAAATTGTCTGGATTCTATTCAATCACACATTTTTTTGCTTCTACTTCTTAGTGGAAAACTAAATTTTACCCTAAAGCTTATCCTTCCCTAATCCTAACAAGAACTAAAACAGTAACACTTTAAACCAAATTATATATGAATGTTTAAAATAACACCCACGCTTGTTTTCATTCATTCTAACTTTGATGTTATTCATTCTTCTTAAAATATGTGGCAGTTTTACACAATATCTTACTTTTTTTTCTCATCATAAACCCAGCTCTAACTGGAACACCTTGCCTAATCCTAAACCTACATATAACCGAATCATAATGTTAATAGCAAGCGTCTATTTCACAATTATGCTATCTCTTGCTCAGCGTGTAGGTCTAAATTTTATTTGCATTTTGACCCTAAATTTTTAACAGTGTTTTTCTATTTCCTGTCAAGTTTTATTTTTCATTTCTTTTTAATTTTATTTTATTGTAATGAGGCTTACATAGGGATTACAGTTACATGTGCAAGGTAATGAGTACATGTCTTGTTGAGCATTGTTACCCCCTTCTTTGTTGTTGTCCCACTATCCCTTCCCTCTCCAACCTCCATTACTCTTCTCTCCCCATGGTGTAAAGTTCATTTTCAGTACAGTGTGCTATGAGTATTATTGTTGCAATAGGTCATCCTGTGTTGAGCCTAAATTTTCTATTTCTCTAACCCTAATTCTAATTCTGTCTGGTATCCTAACCCTAACCATAATAATAATGATAACTCAATTCAGAAGTTAACAGAAAATACCCCTTTTTGTTCAACCTGATAATCCACTGTACGTCTTGGATTAAATTGCAGTTTAGCTTAAATCTTCCAAATTACTTTATATGTGCATATAAAAAGCTGTAATTTTATGTGAAAAACAGAAGATCTTTGGAGAAAGGAGTAACAAAAAGGAAATAGAGGGAGTAAAATCAAATATTTTAATATATTATGGAAAGAGCAAAATTAAACTGCCACTTCTGAAAATGAATAACCATTAACAAAACAATAAAATGTTTCCATTCTTAAAGTGCATTATACTTCAATATAAAGTTTATCTCAAAATAGAAATTCTGCATCTAATCTAATGTACATTTGCATGCACAAAATTCTGTGACTTCTAGTCTTATTATGTGATATTAATTATATTTTTATTGTGAAATGATCCCTACTTATATTTATTACAAACTTCTGTAATTATACAAATCATGCCTGTACATGCTAATTTACGTAATTTAATACACAAACAAAAGTATCTTTTTTCTTGTCTCCCACAGGGAAGGATGAAGTGCTGAAATATACTAAATAGAAGCACTCTAACAGAGAGTCTATAGGGAATGGAAATTTGCAACGTGAGGATGGGAACATGAGCACTTTCTACTTGGCTGAACAAGAATTCTTGTTTCTACAGTACTTTCTTGGCATTTAGTCACACAGGGAAAGCCACAAAATTTGAAGTTCATATGAAAGAATTACATTCCTAAAAGTTGTGTCAACCCTGCTCAAAAGCTCAATTTTATCACTAGTTCTTCGTGCTTGCTGGCTGATCAGTTTCCCTATCATATTTACATATTATTAAGCATATTAGTCATTGAACTGGCAGTACATGGCAGAAGACTCCTGAAATCACATCTATTGCAGTGTAATATTTAGAAGAGAAGAAAAAGATTATATTGATCTCCAATTCCTCCCTTTGGCCTTCAATATAGTAATTAATTGTCAAAACAATCACATAAGATGTTAGTCTATTTTCCAAATTTAATTAGAGATTAAGCAAGTGTTTTTTGCAGTAAAGTGATGACAGTAGTATCACAGCTCTGATATGGGCACCTCCTTCCTAACAAGTAATGCTCTATGAAGTGTAAATATGGACGCCACACTAAATTCTCTCTCTCTCTTTCTCTCTCTCTCTCTCTCTCTACACACACACACACACACACACACACACACATCGGAGATCAGTTCCATTCCTCTGTAATTATAGTTGATTGATGTTTGTTCCCTTGCTTTTCTTTGATTCAAGATCTTACTTGGATCTGTATGTTTCCCCGAGATCAAGTCCCTTCTTTGTATACCGTGTATCTTTGTATGTTTCAGGTCAATTAACAGTACCTTGAATACAACATCTTCAAACTTGACATTCAAGTCAAACTCCATGAATTCATATTACTATTCCAAAATACTAAAATGTATTGAATCTAGGGACAAAATGCCCACCTTGTTATTTTAGAAGGAATTGACATCATGAAAAAGGAAGAATATTAATCAGGAACCGAGGTAAGAGAATCGGAGTATGTGGGAAAATGTAGAATACTGTATGTGTGTTAGAGATACAGAATAATAGGCTCATTTATTGAAAATTTGTCATCCTATATTGAAAGCTCAATTTAAGCATACAGTTTTCCAGTTACTTTGCATACCTATCACGTCTGATCACAAATCCTCTTATGAATGTTTATATTATCTTTGAATAAATCACACAATTTGCAGGTACTTATCATCTTAAGGAAAGACTCTCTGCTTCTAGGTTTTTCATTATATGTGACAAACCCTTATTTTTTGTTTCCCTGTTTGCTGAATAAATGTATTCCTGGAAACAGGTATTGACAACAAATCTGAGTGTAATTTTCATTTTATAAATTTCGAATATAATATAAACTTTGTATTGACTAGTTATTTTTTTAAATGACTGATATTGATGAACACAATATTTTGGTGCCTTTAAGTCAATTGAGAATTGCTGTGGTAGTTCTTATGTCTAATTGACTTAACCATTATGTTATTCATGTATAAACATTGCATTGCACTTTTTTATTTTTATATATAAAATAATCCCTAAGGGTTTTCTTTAAAGTGATAATGGGGGGAGGTTGTCTTCTTGTTCCAAACTTTATATTTACGTCAGTAAAACTACTAGAAACACATTCTGTTTACTGGAGCAATATAAAAGATGAGAACATATTTCTAAAGAGAATGGATTGATTGATTAAAACATAGAATAGAGTAAAATAGTCAGGTTTCTTGTTTGAGATTCCATAAATTTCATATGAATGTAGCTCAAGATAAGAATCAAAGATAAATTCATATTTATATTACTGAGATTTACGTCACAGTATAAGAAATATACGTATTTTAAGGAATTGGTTATTCAAAGCCCTAGATACCTAATGGATGAAGAATGGAATTGAAAAAAAAGCAGAGGAAAACAATTCAACATGCATCTATTATGATTTTATAATACTAATATGAAAGCAATGGAGCTTTTGCCTTTCTGAAGAAGAACGTTTAGGCAGTAATTTCAATGTAAGTTAGCAATTGCAATGAGTCTAAAGTCTTTTCTTCCAAGATATCCAAGAATACTATACTCATCCTTTGAAGAGTAAAAAAGTAATTATTTTCATTAGCTTTGCTTAATATGAATTTATTTGTAGTAAATAGGTTAAAATGTCTTCTTTCTCTCAATGTAATAAGATACATTCTGTCTCTTTCTGTTTCTTCATACAAGCCTGAAATCACTACTTCAACGTAATATAAGCAGAAAAACAAAAATAACCTGATACAACAATTACAAATCCTAAATTATGTGAAAACATACACAATATAAAAAATAAATCTGAGGAAGAGGAAAAACAATGACAGAATAACAACAGAAAATTACCCTAGCAATCTCTAATGAAACAGAGGTTTATAGTCCTAGCAGATACTCCACTTCTAGAGGGTCACATCAAATCAGCTATAATTATAGATATGCAGCTATAAAAATTGACATAACTATAAACATATAATTCATAAGAAGATTTTATACTGTCTTCACAAAAAAACAGAATTCTATGAAAAGGTGCCAGCCAGGTAGTTGACTGCTATGACTGTGTTGGCCAACACATTCAAAAGCACATCTGCAGTCTGGAAATAAATGGGCAACATGGAAAAAAGCAGGAACAGAAGCATACATCAGAGAAAGCCACATCCGTACACATAGACAATTCACCATACCACTGGACATTCCGAACTGTCACTGGAACCACAAATATTAACATCACAACATCTCACCACAACTGATTTCTATTACTACACTTAATGGACCTGACAAAAATGCAATTCCAGAAAAACAAATCATAACAGGAGACCAAACAAAGACCTGGCAAATCAACCAAGAACATAGAGATCACCTATTAAGGTCATAGATCCTCCAAAGAAAACCTCCAAATGGACAAAACAAATCAGAAAAATACAAGAAAAGTGACCTCAAGGTAGTATAATTCACACAGTAAATAACCAGGCATTAAAACAGACAATCAAGGACCTAGAAGAGAGTTATCAAACGTATTACAGATACTGCTGAAAAATGTGATTAATGGAAAGATAGAAAACCTCTACAAGGAAATTTGTGAACAAATGAGACCAACCAAAGATTAGCAAAATAATTCATGAAGACTACAAACAGAAAGATAAATAAATTCTGAGAAGTCAAGGGAGTTCAAGAAAAAATGGATGCCTAGTTAAAGATATGAGAGAAGACACAGCTAAGAAAACAACGCTTGCAACTCCCCCACCCAAAGAAAAAATGTACAGAGGGCTGGGAAGGTGGCTCAGTGGTAGAGCACTTGTCTTGCATGCCTGAGGACCTGGGTCCAATTCATCAGCACCACATAAGCAAAAAAAAAAAAAAGAAAGAAAAAAAGAAAAAAGAAAAAGAAAAAACCCGGAAGTGGCACTGTGGCTCAAGTGGTCGAGCGCTAGCCTTGAGCTGAAGAGCTGAGAGACAGTGCCCAGGCCCAGAGTTAAGTCCCCATGACTGGATCCAAAAAAAAATGTACATAAAGTCCATAAAAGACCTAAAACAAAGGTTTAATAGAGAGACAGAACCCCTAAAATATTACCAACTAGAAGATGGGGAAATCAAAAACAAAGTAGAAAGTCTCCACAGCAAATAGATGACATAGAAGATAATCTCAGGGCCAAATACAAAATAGCTCTAATAGGGAAGAGGAAACAATCATTTAGAACAAATCCAAGAAATAAGAAATGATCTTGCCAGAACGTCAAGACTCAGTTAGAAGATCAAATTTTGAGGAGATAGGTATCAAGAAGGAGAAGAGCAGGAAACTAAATGGATGGGAAACATATTACAGAATTCTAGCAGAGAACATGCCAAACATCCAAAGAGATAGACTCATTCAGAGAAGAGAAGCCTTTAAACAAACACAGAATTCTAGAACTGAACAATCCACCATGACATCATAATCCATTAGAGGATCATTAACGATCAAGGAAAGGATTCTTAAAGCTGCCGTAGAGAAAAGATTGATTATTTATAAAGGATATACAGTCAGAATAGAAACAGATTTCTTAGCTGATATGGTAAAAAAAGGAGAGCCTGGAATGATGTATGACAAACACTAAAGGTAAACAACTACCAACCGTGAATACGGTCCCAAGCCAAACTTTCCTTTACATTTAAAGGATAAATAAACATATTTCATCACAAAGACAACTTGAAACAACGTATTTCCATCAAATCAGCATGATAGAATTTAATCAAATATATCCTACATAGAGAAGATCAAGAAGAACAGGAACTGGTTATATAAAATGTTCCCTACAAGAGTTCAAGGTAAATTTATTAAGAGTACATCAGGCACAGCTCCTAACAACAGGTGTATAACATAGCAGGACTTATCAGATATTTCTGCCTTAACTCTCAATAGCAATGGACTTAAATTTCCAAATAGAAGACATAGATTAGATAGCATTTAAAAACAAGATGCATCCATCTAGTATCTATGAGAGACACATTATCAAACACATTCTATGAAGCTAGAATTAGACTCTTCCCCAAATCACGTAGGGACTCACCAAAGAAAGAGAACTATGGACTCAACACTGATTAGCATTAAAGAAGAACTTCTTAATAAAATTCTCACTAACCAATTTCAGCAACTAAAAAAAATCATATGGTATGATCAAATAGGATTCAACTTGGATAAAAGTCGATTTAATATTCTTGTGAATAAACATAATACAAACTATCAGCAGAAGCAGGGTCAAGAAACACATGATCGTCTATAGGGATGTAGAAATAGCTTTTAACAAGCTCCAATACCGCTTTATGATTAAAAGGTCTGAGAAGCTAAGAATGCATGGAACATTCCTCAATATAACACTGAGTATGTATATGACACAGATAATTAGCATTTACCTCACGGTGGAAGCCTGAAGACATTAACATCAGGAATGAGACAAGATGTCCACTCTCTCTACTACTCTTCAATATGGTAGTGGAATTTCTTGTAAGAACAATAGACAAGAGAAAAACATCAAGCAGATCCAAATATGGAAGAAGTAAAACTATCCCTTTTTACAGATGAAATGTCGCTGTATTTAAAAGACCCTGTGGCTTCCTCCCTCAAGTTAGTACAGGTGATGCTAACCTTCAGCAATGTAGCTGGGTATAAAAACCACAAGAATCAGTAGTTTTTCTGTTACCAACAATGGGAAGATCCACGCTGAAATTCAAAATACAACCTATATGTATTAGCCTCAAAAACAAATTAAATCTACACAGAACAAAACAACAACAACAAAACTAGGAATTAATTAAATTAAAATTGTGAAGGACCTATATGTGAAAACTTTAAAAATATACAAAGGGAAATTGAAGGAGATTCAAGGAAATAGAAAGTCTTTCAATGTTCCTGGTTAGAAGAATTAACATTTTAAACATTGCAATATTTTCCCCAATTTTGCAATGCAATACTCATCAAAATCCTAACAATATTCTTCCATGCAGTAGAGAAAGCAATCCAACTTTAATATGGAATTACAAAATTTCAGATGATACAGAATGCTTAGAAGTGAATTCATGTGCCTATAGTCATCTTACACACACACACACACACACACACACACACACACACACACACACACACACACACAATGGGATTATATTCACCCATCAGAAAGATGACTTTTCACCAGTGGTAAGGAAAATAAAAAGTTTGGGAAAATTATATTAATAGAAAAGAGAAAGGAATGCAGACACAGAGCAATATAGGTTTCATGGATTCATTCATTTATTGAAACTAGAAGGTGCATACAAATCTATAAGTAAACAAGACAGATTCTACCTCGTCCCAGTTAATATGGCCATTACCAAGAAAACTAAGACTAGCAAATGCTGGACAATTGGGAACTCTATTACACTGTTGGTGGGAAATTAAACTCGTTCAACTATTGTGGAATGCAGTACGGAGTTTCCTGAAAAGACTAAACCTATATCTCCCTTAAGACCCAGTAATTTCCCTCAGGGGCAGTAATCCAATCAATAACAAACAGCCTCACATGAAAGCTACCAGTATATCCATGTTCAGGGCCCAGGCCCAGAGTTGAAGGACTGGAAAAAATTTACCACTGCTGGTGTTTGTTTCCGCAAATATGAACAGTTTGATATAAGATACCAAATCAATCTATTTCCAGTAGCTAGTTTAGGACTTAAAGGTAGTGGGGGATAAAATGGCTCCTTTGTTGAATGTTAGGAGAAGATGTAGGCAGTCCATGAAATGGGGATTTGTTGTTGTTGTTCGAGGTGCTTGAAGTCTGGGCTTGGGAACTGTCCCTGAACTCTTCAACTCAAGGTGAGTGCTCTACCTCTTGAGTGAAAGTGCCTCTTCTGGTTTTCTGGGGGTTAAATGGAAATAAGAGTTTCAGGGCTTTCTTGCCCAGGCTGTCTTTGAAATGAAGTCCTCAGATCTCAGCTTCCTGAGTAGCTAGGATTATAGCTGTGAGCCACTGGCACCAGGTAAAAATGGGGGATTATTAGAAAAGAAAATCGCCCTCTTCACCTGTGTCTAAACCACAGATACTATTATTAGAACACTTCACCTTTAACTCATTTCATCAGACATTTGTAAATTTTCTCTTTTCCTTCATGTGGGAATACTGCAGTCAATATCAACTCAGCTGAGGGACTGGATCAATTGTATGGTAATTGCTGGCACCTAATTTAAGAACTTTTACATCAAAAGAAATAAAACCCTCATTTGGAAGAATTGTGTTTTCTTTTTATTACAAATCTCTGCTAGATTACTTATTAATGTGATATTGGACCTCCTAAGAGAATGATGACATTTTCTTTCTCTTCAGCCTTCTCCCACATATGGTCAAATATTTAAGAATTCAAAGATTTGTATTGATAGTTGATTAAGCTGACTACTAAGAAAATGTGCATTTCTGGAATTTGATCTGCTGTCTTGTTATTACATGCAAAGGCTTTCTATGATTTATTTGTTCTACAAGGCATTCTACTTTCCAATCTTTGTGTGACCAATTTTAGTGTCTCTGATCAGTCTTTCTGACTCTCTCTCTGGAGTCACATTTGAGTTTGCCTCATAAAAAATATTTTAGTTATCAGCTAAATGACTCTCAGCTTCTGTTTTTTGCCTGATTTCATTTAGGCTGTGATAGCAACCCTGCCTGGCTGTGCTTACTGGAGTGCTTTTTGTGTATTTGTTAGTGTGTGTGTGTGTGTGTGTGTGTGTGTGTGTGTGTGTGTGTGTGTGTGCATGTGTGTGTGTGTGTGTTTTGTTTTAGAGGTCTAGGATTACTATTCAAGGTAGTAGTTTCTCTTGGCCCCTGTGATCCCCTGGCCTAGAGTCGATGGGTTTTTCTAAAGATACAAAGAGCAGCTTACTAAATTCCTGTTTTAATTGTCCCACAATGAGGCAATCAGGCATCCTTGCAAAGCCATCAATAATGCTTTGTAACCACTTACAGAAGTTGTCTATCAAGATGGCGTTCCAAGGTTGACTGTGAAAATTGTTCATTTCCAAGCAGGCACCATAAAGCATATCACATTCCTGGAATCAAACATTTGGAAGGAAGGTTCCCCTTCCTTCCTTCTCTTATAATAGATCAAACCATAATATTCTTCAGTTGTAGAGCCTGGAGCACATTTTCTCAAGAATATTCTGTAGTGATAAAAAGGACCAACTTTCAAAATAAAGGTGAAAATACTTGTCTACAACAGACTGGTTTATCTTGCTTATATCTGTTGTTTTTTTCATTAAATCAAACACATGGATAATTTATATTGGTATTAGACAAGTGGCAAAGGATTAATGGGATAAGCATTCAGTTTACTTTCATATATCCATTAGCCCATCATGAAAAATTAACTACAACTGTAGAAAAAATATCAGGAATATAAAATAAGCCTCAAGATAAGGTCAGGAAGATGGCGGAGAAGAAGCTGGAGGCTAAACAAGCTCTAGCATAAAAAAGCAGTTTTAGTGTTCCAGTGAACAGTACTAGGCCAGAGAATTACACCAAGTGTGCCATCACAGTACAGAGAGTTTTGCCAGAGAGGGAAAATCAAGGCAAAGAGACAGATCTGAGCACTTGCCGCTCCTGGCAAGTGCTCAGATGTGTCTCTTTGCCTTGTGGCAGCAGCAGCAGCAGCAGCGGCGGTGCCCGTAGCCGTCATACCTGCAACACAGAGGGTCTGGGACAAAGGCACCAGATGCAGCGGGCAAGCTGATTCTACTCAACACCAGCAAGAACTGACAAGGAGCAGATATCTTCACACTGCAGATAGCAGACCAGAGACGACCCAGGAACCAAGACTCCGGCAGCGTGGAGTAGAAGCCTGACATCCTCACTCCTTCTTAGGGATCAGAGGAGGGAAGGCATTCATGCCCCACCCCATTACTGGAGATCTCCATCTTTGATACTGACAAAGGCTTGGCTGAGTTGCCAGTTCCAATTCAGGCCTTGGGAGAAAACAAGACAGCTATTTGGCAGGTCACATGAACCTGGCCAGACCTGCCAGGTTCAACTCCACCCAGGAAAAAGTCACCCACCCCAGGCAGAGTAAATCTGCCCCCTGGGAGTGGCTTTCTTCACTGGGTAAACAGAGCCAGAGCCTGTGCCTCCCTAAAGCAGCTTAGACATTCTATTGAAATTCAGTAAACATAAACTCTGAGAAAGGCTGCAGGCTGTGCTCTGTGAGTGTCTCAGAAGCTAGCCCCTCAGGGAAAAGCTACTGTTTGCTGAAAGGCCTCAACTCTACCCAGAACCTAACCTCATCAAAGCATCTCCAAACAAGAGAAAACAGACATCTCCCTCTTTTGCAATACTCAGAACAGATCCCTCTCCCACTGAACTAGCCTGAGAGGACGATCACAAAGCAGAGCATTTTTCGGCTTGCCCAAACAAACTGCCTTAAGTAACAAATCAAGCCACAGGAAAACCAAACACCACAAGCCGACCAGGGACTCCACCAAGAGTCTGGTTACTGACACAAGGGAAATACAGAATCTTCCTATCCCCCAGCCCACAAAAAAAAAATGAAAGAACTTTCTTTTTGTTTTTGTACGTTATTTTTAATTTTTTGCTTTTTTAATTTTTGTTTTTATTGTTTATTGTTTTCTTCCTCATATAATTTTTATTTTAGGTGAATATGTGTGTGTGCTTATTTTTTAATCTCTACTGAACTTTTGTTCCCTTTCTTTCTTTCTTTCTTTCTTTCTTTCTTTCTTTCTTTCTTTCTTTCTTTCTTTCTTTCTTTCTTTCTTTCTTTCTTTCTTTCTTTCTTTCTTTCTTTCTTTCTTCCTTTCTGTTCTCATTCTTTTCACTTCTCTTTTATTCGTTTCTGCATGACTTAATTTCTGTTGTGGTCAACCTCAAATATACCCGTCATCGATTATTAGATCTTATCCTACATTGTGTACATACTTAATCCAGAAATTTATTACTCAATTCAAAACCTCTTAGAGATAAATTCTTTAATAGCAGTATTACCTATTTATACCCATATAATATTTTAAAACATCTTTATTTTTCGTTTTTCATGTCTCTTTTCTATGCCTCCCCTCCTTTCATCCCATCCCCATTCTTCTCTGAATACTACTTCTTCAAACTCACAGCTTTTAAGGGTTTCATTTTTTAATATTAAATTTGTGTTTTTCCATTTTTTCTTGTCTTTTTTCCTTTTTCTTTTTTTCTTACTATTTTTTCTGTAGCTGCTATCATTCTCTCCAATCACTTTCCCTCTTTGAGATGAGGAAACGGTTAATTCCACTCTCCCTCACTTTCCCACATCCCTCCAATCCTATTGTTCCCCAAATTTTACCTAAACCTAATAATTTCTGGTTGCCAAATTCTCCTTTGCTGTTCTTAGGCCATAAAGACATAGTTGTTTGATGTTCAATAGATTGTATCTCTTGAACCAGATTGTATCTGCAGACTTTTGACTGTGCAACTACGGACTTTGGTTTATGCTTATCTTAAAATAGTGTTCTAGCAAAAAACGTGTTATTCTCATCCCAAATGGGCAGAACAAGCCGGAAAAACACAAGAAAAATGTCAAGCCAGGGGTTCTCAACTCCCATTCATGACAATCAGGGGAGAAAAGAGATAATGAATAATCCAGAGGAGAGTTCTCAAAAAGCTCTACAAACACTACAGGTAAACATGGTAAATGAAAAGAGTTAAAACCTGCAAAAGTCTCAATGTGAGCATGATAGGGAGAAAGAGGAGGCAAACCAAAGATCAATACAGGAGAAGCATTAGCTTGAGGAAGCTACTCAAAGATTGATACAGGAATTTCATGAGCAGATTGAGAACACTCAAAGAGAAATAAAGGAATTGTGTGAGCAGGTTGAGATCAGTCAAAGAGATAGACAGCAATTACGTGAGCTGGCTGAGCACAGACAAAGAGAAAGTCAGGAATGGCGTGAACAGGCTGAGGACACTCAAAGAGAAATTCAGGAAATGTGTAAACGTGGGGATGCTAATCAAAGAGAAATACAGGAACTGAGAGATCGGGATGAGAACGGACAAAGATCAATGGAGGCATTAGTGGAATACAGAAACAGAGAGCTGAAAGAAATCAGTGAGACGGCAAAGGGAATGCTCATTCGAAAACAACAGAAGGAATGCGAGTCCTAGGAAACCATAACCAATCAACTAAGTGATTTGAGAATAAACACTGAGCACCAAAGTAAGGAAGTAAAGAAGTTCTTACAAGATCTAGAACAAAGTTCCAACAAAGAATTTGAAGTCATCAAAGTCAACCAATTAGAAGAAATAATAAAAAACGAAGTAGAAAGTCTTGACAGTAGGTTAGACCATGCAGAAGATCGAATCTCAGGGATTGAATACAGCCTAGATATTATAGAGAAAGAACATAAAACCATCCAAGACAAATCCTAGAAATATGATATATCTCCTCAAATCTATTTGGAAAACACCATCAGAAGGCCTAATCTGAGGATAATGGGTGTAGAGGAACACCTAGAGACAGAAGTTAATGGTCTAGGAAATTTGTTTAACAAGATCCTAGCAGAGAACTTCCCAAACATGTAAAAAGACAGGGCTATTCAAATACAAGAAGCTTTTAGAACTCCAAATAGACCAGACCAGAACAGGACATCCTACCGTCAAATTATTATCCGCACAGGATCAATTCAGACCAAGAAAAAAATCTTTAAAGCTGTCAAGGAGAAAAGATCAATAACCTATAAAGGGAAACCAATGAGAATCACCTCAGATTTCTCAGCAGAGAAAATTAAAGCAAGAAAAGCCTGGAATGATGTATACCATCCCCTAAAGACAAGCAACTATCAACCAAGAATACTGTACACAGTTAAACTCTCCTTCATATCTGAAGGTCAAATAAAAAACTTCCATAGTAAAGAAAAATTGAAACAATATATCTCCACCAAACCAGCTCTACAAAGACACCTAAAGATGTCCTACACATAGAAAACCTACAAGACCACAATAAACACCAAGAAACCGCACCCAAGGTGAGAATCCAAGAACCATAGGAAGTACTCAGTTGCGGCAGCCTTAAAGAAGATGAATAAAATGGCAGGAACTCCCAAATACCTCTAAGTCCTATCTCTTTACATTAATGGGCTTAACTCTCCAATTAAGCGACGTAGACTAGTTGGATTAAAAAGGAAGATCCTTCTACCTATTGCCTTCAGGAATCCCACCTTGTCCATAAAAACAACACATTTTGAATGTGAAAGGCTGGAACAAAATCTACCAAGCAAACAGCTCCCTATAAACAGGCAGGAGTTGCAATACGAATATCAGATAAAATAGACTTCAAATTAAAATTAGTTAGAGGAGATAAAGAAGGTCTCTCAATACTAATTAAGGGATCTCTACTTCAGGAGGTTATTACAACTCTAAATCTCTATTCGCCAAACAATGAATCATCCAAATTTATGCAAAAAACACTACTTTCTCTCAAATCTCATTTAGATCCAAATACATTAATTATCAGGGACTTTAATACACGACTATCCCCACTAGATAGATCAACTTGGCAAAAACTCAACAGAGAAACCGGAGATATAAACAACTGCATAGAGCAACTACATTTAACAGACACCTACCAAATATTTCACCCAGCATCATCAGAATACACGTTCTTCACAGCAGCACATGGAACATTTTCCAAAATAGACTACATTTTAGGTCCCAAAGCAAACTTTTCCAAATTCAGGAACACTGTAGTAAAACCTTGCATTCTCTCAGATCACAAGGGAAAAAAATTAGAACTCAACACCAAAAGCCACCAAAGAAAGTCCTGTAACATATGGAGGCTGAACAACACACTGTTGAACCACCAGTAGGTCATGGAAGAGATTAGAAACGAAATTCATGTGATCAAGGTATTCAACATAAATGAGCACACAAACTACTAGCTCCTCTGGGACACAGCAAAGGCAGTACTCACAGGCAAGTTATATCTTTGAGTTCTTACATCAATAAATTCGAAAGATCCGAAACTAACAATTTAATGAGACAGCTGAGCCTCCTTGAAAAAGAGCAAGATGAACCCCAATCTTGTAGAAGGAAAGAAATAATTAAAATTAAATCAGAATTAAATGAATTAGAATAAAAAATAGAAAGAATCAACAAAACAAAGAGATGATTCTTCTAAAAAATCAACAAAATAAATAGACCCCCAGCAAATCTTATCAGAAGAAGAAGAGAATACACCCTAATAAATAAACTCAGAGATGAGAATGGAAATATCACCACAGAAACAAACAAGATTCAGAACATTATAAGGGAATACTTCTCAAACATTTATGCTAATATGTCTGAGAACTTGGCAGAAATGGACCTTTTCCTAGCAAATATCAACATGCCAAAACTAAATCAAGATGAGTTAAACCATCTTAACTAGCCCATATCAAGCATTGAAATAGAAACAGCAATGAGACCTCCCATCTAAGAAAAGCCCAGGACCGCATGGTTTTACAGCAGAGTTCTACAAGGAATTCAAAGCAGAACACACACCAATACTCTTTCAAATTTTAAATGGAATTGAAAGAGAAAGTTCACTACCAAATTCATCCTATGAAGCTATAATAACCCTCATCCAAAAATCAGGCAGGGACTCATCAAAGAAAGAGAACTATAGACCCACTTCTTTGATGAACATTGATGCAAAACTTCTCAACAAAATTTTGGCCAATCAACTTCAACAATTCATCCAAAAAATCATATGCCACAATCAAACAGGATTCATTTCAGGGATGAAATGCTGGTTCGAAATCCGCAAATCAAATAACATAATTCATCACATCAACAAGAGCAAGAATAAGAACCACATCGTTATCTCAATAGATGCAGAGAAAACATTTGACAAGATCCAACACCCCTTTGTGATGAAGGTTCTGCAAAGACTAGGAATCCATGGAACCTTCCTCAATAAAATAAAGACTGTATATTAAAACCTCTAGCCAGTATTATGCTCAATGTTGAAAAATTAACGCCATGTCCTCTAAACTCAGGAACGAGACAAGGATGCCTACTCACTTCATTGCTCTTCAATCCAGTATTGGAATGCTTAAGGACAGCAATAATAAAAGATACAAACATCAAGGGGTTCCAAATAGGGAAAAAGAAAGTAAAACTTTCCCTCTTTGCAGATGACATGATCTTGCATTTAAAGAATCCCATGGATTCTGCTCTCAAATTCTTCAAGGTGATTCAAAACTTTCGTAAAGTATCAGGGTATAAAATTAGCCTTCAAAAATCAATGGCTTTTCTATATGCCAACAATGAGAAAAGTGTAGCTGAAATCAGGAAAGCAACTCCATTCGTAATAGCTCCACAAAAAATAAAATACCTAGGAATTAACCAAACAAGTGAAGGACATCTATGATGAAAACTTTAAAAACCTGAAAAACGAAATCAAAACAGAACTTAGAATGTGGCAAAAACTCTGATGCTCCTGGATTGGAAAAATCAACATCGTGAAAATGGCAATACTTCCCAAGGCTATCTACAAATTCAATGTGATACCTATCAATATTCCAATTTCATTCTTCAGGGAAATAGAAGACTCAATCCAAAAATTGATATAGAACAATAAAAGACCCCGAATAACAATAACAATCTTTAACAGAAAGAACAGTGGTACTGGCACAAGAGCAGACTGCAGGACCAATTGAATAGACTTGAAAACCCAGAAATGAACCTAAAGACCTGTAGCCATCTAATTTTCAATAAGAGAGCTAACAAAAATAGAATGGAAGAAAGAGAGTCTCTTCAGTAAATTGTGCTGGCAAAATTGGTTAACTACTTGTGGAAAACTAAAGCTAGATCCTTATATATCAACTTGCACCAGAATCAACTATAAATGGATCAAAGACCTCAGAGTCAAAGCAGATACTCTGAAAACATTATAGAATGGAGTAGGAGAAACCCTAAGCCTCCTTGGTGCAGGCCGAAATTTTTTTAATAGAGACCCACAAACACAACAAATGAAAGAAAGGGTGGAAAATTGACATTGCATGAAATTTCAGAGCTTCTGCATGGCAAAGGATAAAGCTAGCAAAATCAATAGAAAGCCCACGGATTGGGAGAAGATTTTTCACTAGCCATACAACAGACAAGGGTCTCATATCTAAAATATACCTGGAACTTAAAATTTTAAATCCCCACAAAACAAATCTTCAAACAAACAATTGCCCAATAAATAACTGTGCTAAAGACTTAAAGAGAAACTTCTCTGAAGAGAAAGAAGGATGGCCAATAGACACATGAAAATATGCTCAAGCTCTCTAGCCATAAAAGAAATGCAAATCAAAACAACAATGATATACCACCTCATTCCAGTTAAAATGGTTATAAACAAGAATTCTAATAACAAGAGCTGCTGGAGGGAATATGGACAGAAGGGAACCTTACTGCATTGTTGGTGGGAGTGTAAACTTGTTCAACCACTTTGGAAAGTAGTATGGAGGTTCCTCAAAAGACTCCACATAGAGTTCCCTTATGACCCGGCAATCCCACTTTTGGGCATTTACCCAAATGATCACAAACAAGACCAAACTAAAGTTTCCAACACGACTATTTTTATTGCAGCATTTTTTACCATAGCTAAGTTATGGAACCAACCCAGATGCCTCTCAGTAGATGAATGGATCAAGACAACGTGGTATATATACCCAATGGAATTCTATGCCTCCATCAGAAAGAATGACATTGCCACATTTGTTAGAAAATGGAAAGACTTGGAAAAAATTATATTATGTGAAGTAAGCCAGACCCAAATAAACATAGGTCCCATGGTTTCCCTTATTTGCAATATCTAGTATATGTCTGAGTCAAGCAGAAAAGTTCAGATAAGTTGATATTAGTGGAATGAACCCCAAGATAAGTATTCAAATTTTTTTGTTTTTTTTTCCTTTTATTCAATTGTTTCTATCATATTTATAAGATGATGTTTGTCTTGAGCATCCCTCCCTTTTTCGTGTTCTTTGTTTTGTTGAATGTTGCAGATCTGATGGGAGTATTCTTCTGCTGGTGTTCTTGTAGTTGTTCTTGTCCTCAGCTCTCTCACGGAATCTTGTTGTATCAGACATCTGAGAGCTGTGATGGGAAAGATGGGATGGCCACATTCCCAGGCTCTGGGAAATCCTTTCTTCTCTCACTCAGTGACTAGGCGTCAATATCCTAACCTACTCCAAAGTTTCCTCGAATCTCTTGCTCACCACTCAGCTACCTCTACTTTCCTCAATGGCCAGTAGTGGTGTCAACCAACAGAGGGAATTCTGGTGCTACAGGGCAGCATGGAATGTGGGCGTGGCCAGCATTCTTGAATCCCATTTGGTCAGAAAGAACCATGAAAGAATGGGGTTGTGGCTGGAATCCTGTGATGCAGGCAGCATGGGCGGAGTAAAGATGACAGCAGCTTCGCCAGACCCTTTCCCAGGGAACTCTGTCCAATTCAGTTGGGGACAAAAGGGTGACCTGCTTTATCTGGATGGCTGCACAAATTGTTGTGTATGTCTGTTTGTTGCCAGTCTTGGACCTTAAACTCAGGATCTGGGCACAGTCTGTGAGCTGCATTTGATCAAGGCTAGTGTGAGACACACGTCTCTTCTTTTTTTTTTTTTTTTTATTTATTTTTTATTGTGAAAATACTGTACAGAGGGGTTACAATTACATGGGCAAGATAATGAGTACATTTCTTATTAAGCATTGTAGCCTCCTCTTTTGTTTACCCTTCCCATCCCTTCCCATCCTCCCCCGCCCCCCCCACCCAATCCTCCCCGCCCACTCCCAACAAAGTTGTAAAGTTCGTTTTCGACATAAAGACTTGTACTTCTCATTGTTGCAACAGGTCCACCTGTATCCTTATTTAAACGACTTGTTTTTCCCCTTCCCCTCCACAAATTATACCAACATCAACACGTCTCTTCTTGTGGCTTTGTTGCCACTTAAGTTGGACAGTGGTCTCAAGGACTTTCCTGCCTACGGTGACTTTGAAAATGACCCTCCTTTCACAGCCTTGTAAGTATCAAGGAGGACTGCTGACAGCCAGTAGTGCCTGGCTAATCATTGGTCTTGCTGATGTTCTTAGACAGACCAGTGAGTTCCCAATCCTCAGGTTTAAGTGGTGGGAGCTGGTGCCCACAGTTTGAATCTTGGTCCTGCCACTTCCAGATGGCAGGAGATCCTAAGAAACTCATTTCATCCATATGAATACCAATGGAATATGATGTATGTCATGATTTAATGGGCAGTTCTTGAATAATTCCAGTATAAAATTATACACAATTATATTATACAAAACTGATCGATTTTAGTTAATACTTTATTAAGCATTTAAACAATCACATTCATTAAATGGAGGCAGAATGAAATACCTAAGAATTGGGTGTCATATTGCATAGAGATGCCATTTTTCTGCCAGGACTGGGATTTGAACTCATGTTCTTGGTAACTCTGTTTCACTGTGTGGGAAGGAGAGGCTTGCCTCCTTGAAGTCAAGAAATTCAAGTCTGTTCCTTAGGCCTGAAATCGAGCCTCTGCACTAGATACAATCCTATTCACGTACATTTTAAATATATGATTTATATTTACAGACATATGTATGCACATATTGAGTTCAGTATATTTATTCATTTTATTTTTTGTTTGTTCATGTATTGACTATTTATTTTATTGTCTATTATGGCACATAGAACATTGATTACGTTGATTACATAGGATATAGGTGTGCATATGTATCCTACTTCAAATGTGACACCCAGGACTTTCACAGAAAAGGAAAACATGTGTCACCATCAGCTTTTTACTCCACGATTCATTGTTTGGGAGTTCTGGCATCTGAACTCATGGCCTACAGAACCAAATTCATGAATGGGTCAGTGTCAACATGCCATCCTGGGGCAAATTGAGCTGACAGGAAGTTCCCAGGGCCTGAGATAGAGCCCCAGCGGTTGACAAAATAAGAACAGATTGACACTCAGATGGTAGTACGCTAATAAATATATATCTTTATAGAGTGCCAGAGATGTCTATCCATTATTCAGTTATATAGACTACATTCCTAACAATTCTTGGGTATTATTATACCTCCATGTAATTAATGTTATTGTTTTCATCCTCAATGAGATGTACAAGTAGTTATGTTGAAAACTAATTTTACAACTTTGTTGAGGGGGTGAGGTGGGGAAGGGGGGGTGGGGAGGATTGAGTGGGGAGACAGGAGAAGGATGGGAATGAAAGGGAAGGGGAAACAAAAGAAGAGGCTACAATGCTTGATAAGAAATGTACTCATTATCTTTCCCGTGTAATTGTAACCCCTCTGTACAGTATTTTCACAATAAAAAATAAATAAATAAACTCTTAAGAAAATCGGTGTCCTGAAATCATTGCATCCCTGTAAGAAAGAGTATTCTAGCCGGGCGCTGGTGGCTCACGCCTGTAATCCTAGCTACTCAGGAGGCTGAGATCTGATGATCACAGTTCAAAGCCAACCCCGGGCAGGAAAGACTGTGAGACTCCTATCTCCAATAAATCACCAGAAAACCAGAAGTAGCGCTGTAGCTCAAGTGGTAGAGCGCTCGCCTTGAGCTGAAGAGCTGAGGAACAGTGCCCAGGCCCAGAGTTCAAGCCCCACGACCGACCAAAAAAAAAAAAAAGAGTATTCTTTTAATGTTTCATATTATATAAAATCAACCAGACGACTGAAACATGATGTCTAATTTTATACGAGTATCATTCACGAGCAACTCATTTAACTATGACATTTAAAACATTCCATCGTTATTCTTATAAATTGGAACGAGTCTCTTAGGATCTCCCATCATCCAGAAGTGACATGACTTGGAATCGACTCTAGCCCTATATTGCCATGCAGGACTATGGCCCAATAGCTCAATAGCCCACCAGCCTTCAGCAATGTAAGTTGAAGTACCCTTTGGAGCTGTGTCATTCCGACCCAGATGGTCATGGTGCAAAATCTAAAAAGGCCATCCCACCACTTATTTTCTGTGCATCCCCCCCCCCCGCAAGGCCTGGAGGTCTAGGATCCCAGGATCGTCTGTTGTTCCAGTGGCTGCACCCCAGCCTAGGGTGATGGAAGCTGAGGCAGAGTTGCCATGATTTGAGTTCAAGACCTTGCTTGGCAAAAAACAAAAACAAAAAACAAAAAAACTCCCTGGCTTGCAGTTGTTGCCGTTTTATCTGTAAGGCTTTGGATTTGAATTTAGGGTCTGGGTAACTCTGCAGCACTGTGGATGAAAGGGAAGCTCACCATGCTTGAGGACAAGAAAGTCAGGCCTGCTCCCTATGCCTGAATTCATGACCCAGCCCTTGGAAACACACTATTTATATACATTGTAAAGATAGGATTTGTACCTACCTATAGATGTTCAGTCCATATCTTGTTTGTTGTGGTTATTTATTGTATTTCTGTTTTATTCATTTATTTACCACTTATTTTATTGACTGTGATAACAGACATTCCATTTATTATATTGATGACATTATATCACATATATCTAGATTTGTATACATTTTCTCCTTCATGTATTACACCCAGGACACTCAGAGAAAAAGAAAACAGGTGTTACACTCCACTTCTTACTCCACGATCCAGTTGTTGGCAGTGCTGGGACCTGAACTCAGGGCCTAGCAGACCCAATTCATGAATGGGTGTGTCAACATGGCAACCTCTAGCCCACAAAGCTGCCAGGCAGTTCCCAGACCATGTAATTGAGCCACAGCACTGGACAAAATAGCCATATATGGATAGGCAGCTGGTAGTATACCAATAAATATATATTTGTATAGAGTACCAGAGACAACTGCCTAGGATTCAAGTATATCAACTACTTTCCTACCAACTCTTAGGTAGTTATTATGCCACCACTGAAGGAATAGGATTCTTTTCATGCTTAATAGACTATTCATTAAGATCAATCAGCGTCCTAGGATCATTGCATCTAATTTTAGACTAGACTTATTGATGAACTCAGAAACTTCTCATTTAATCATGAGTTTGCTCACGTTCCATTGGTATTTCGATGCATAAGAACGAGTATCTTGGGAATTCCACATATTGGTAGGTGTCAGGACCAGGACTCGAACTCAGGGCCTACATTGCTGCATGGGCCTATGGCTTCCCCAATAGCCCACTATCCTTCACCAATGCAAGGTGAAGTACTCTTTGTAGGCATGTTATTAAGACCCAGGATGGTCACCTTGGAAAGGAACAAAATGTAAAAATTCATCCCGCGGCTTTCCTCTCTCTCTCTCTCTCTTTCTCTCTCCATATATATATATATATACATACATACATATATATATATATATATATATATATATATCATACTCTGTGTGTGTGTGTGTGTGTGTGTGTGTGTGTGTGTGTGTGTGTTTTCCTGCAAGACTTCAGGGCCTAGTATCCCAGGATCGGCAATGGGCCCATGGCAGCCCACCACCCTGAGGTGATTGAAGCTGAGGCAGAGTTACCACAAACTGAGTTCAAATCCTTTCATTGGCAATAATAATAATAATAATAAAACCTGGCTCAGAACTCGCACCATTTTTCTGCCACAGCTGGGATTCCAACTCAGTTCTGGGTAAATCTATAACACTCTGGGGGAAATGGAAGCTCACCATCCTTGAAGACTACAATATCAGGCCAGGTCACAGGTCCTGAATTGAAGCCCCAGCACTGGAAAAATTAATGTACCCACCTATTTTACACATAGGATCTCTATTTACATATATGTATGGAATGCATCATGAGTTCAGTGTAGTTACTCTTTTTATTGTGTGTCTTAGTCATGGATGCATTTGTGTTTTATTGAGTATGATGACAGACATAACTGGGCTGACACAGATAACAAATTTTTCCTATGGTTATAGAGTTGCCTATTTAGAATTCTCCATCCTCCCTGAGACCCAGGACTTTCACAGGACAGGAAAACAGGTGGATCGATGGGCTTCTCACATTAGGTTTCATCTTTTGGCTGTATTGGGATTTGAACTCAGAGCTTAGCAGGCCCAATTGGCGAAAGGGTCTAGGTGAGGATACCAGCCTGTGAGCAACTAAGGAGCTAGGGGGTTCCTGGGACTTGAGATTGAGCCCCGGAGTGGGGGTGGGGCACAATATTCATCCATTCATAAGCTGAATACCTATTTGGATAGAGTAGGAGTTGTGGCTAGCTGTGTTAGAATCCCACCTACCATGTTGTCGGGTCTTCATTCATCCCACAAAAGATGGACAGGGTCCTAGGAAAGGTAAGTGCAGCCACTCGCACGTTCCCCAGCCTCCCTCATCCTGGGAGACAATCAGATGCAGCAGGGAGTCAACTCAAGCAGGGAAACTCGTTTATTAACACAGAGCAAGCCGTTTTTAAAGCAACAAAGAGTGGGTGGCATGGGAGGGGAGGAAGAGGAACCAATCACTGTCAAGGTCACACCCTATCATGCACCTAAGCTTCCATGGTCTGGTTACTTACTGTAAAGCAAATCGGGCTCTGCCCACTCCACTCCCCTTCAGTGTCATCTTTGCTGCCCATGTGCTCTATAGATTCCCTCTTTTTTGTTTTAATGGCAGACCCACCTCCAAGTTAGTTATCTTTTCCCCTCCGCTGTAAAGGTTATTTTAAAAGGATTCCATTGGTAAGGATAGCATTGGCCATGCAGGGGGTTTGAGGCAAGTCTGGGTGTTGAGATTCGCCAGACAAGGATAAGGAGGGCCCTTGTGTATGAGCCAAGAGGCCGTCCCAGTTACCTCACATCCCCATC